ATTAAGCAAACACGGTTTAGAACAGGATCCACGCCGTCAGATTTCATCGAGCGTTCGCATGGGAAATGCGATAGTTAGTTGGAGGAGTTTCTGAAAAGGCAGAGTTCGTGAGTGAGGGAGTGTGAATGCATCACTGAAGGGGCGGTGGAGAATGAGAAACGCAGTAAGCGAAATGAAAATGTTGTTAGCAAACTCCTAAATAAAGATTCGACCATGATGAATTGGAACTTATTTTAAAATGTCACAAATATATCGAGTGTACTGCACCTATCCACCCTGGTTTTCTGTCCCACAAGAGCACTCCTCAAGCTCCGACGACAGGGCCGTTGTAGCGTTTAGCCCGAACCTGCTGAGCATCAGATTGTGCCACCCGACATCGCCTGCATCGAAACGTCCGCTTGGATGGCCGGCGCGGCGGCCCTCGCTGGCGTGATGTGATCGGACAGAGCGCAGCGGCGCGAGGCGAGCGCGGTGCACAGTGTCCGCGATGTCGGGGCGCGCTGCTGCATGTCGCCCTGGTGGAACGAACATTGCGACCAGGCCCCGCCGACCTCACCACCGCCGCCGCTCCGCGGCAGACGCGGTGGGCGCCGCTTCCCCGGCGGGAAAGCGCGGACGCGCCGGCCCATCTTGACCCCCAAGAGCGGTCACTAGACAGGAGAGGCACGTGCATCACTTCCAAACGCGGAACTGCGTTTCGAAGCGAGCGATGAGCGAAGCGAACCCTCGGTCGGAGCATTACCTGCACGCTCAGAGGGGCACGGTGCCGTCCGCCGGGTCGCTGGGGCGGGGCTATAAGGCAGCCTGATTAAGTGTCATTTAATGGGTCAAAACTGACTCCGGGAACTACAGAGTTGAAAGGATGGCACGATCCTCTTTGCAGAATAAGCACCAGTCACGGGGGTAGCAACTGACCAAAGCGTCTAAGATATGTGGTTTCCGATACCGCTAGGACACTTTGGAGATGGTTGTGCCCCCAAAATGCCCTTTAGAGTATTCACTTTACATGCATGAAAGACGTGTGGGGGAAAATACCACTCCGCACGGAACGGAAACTCGACCCGAGCAGGACGGACAGACACAGGGGTACACCGCACTGCAGGGACCGCAAACTGGGCCGGGACATGTCAAAGACTTCAAGAGCTATGCCGCACTGCAGGAAGCAGGAAACTTGGTCAGGACAGGACCAACACGTGCAGAGTTATACCACGTTTCAAGCAACGCAAGACTCGGGACTGGTCTGAGGGACAGGCGCATGCAGAGAAACGCACCTGTGCTGTCCAGGAGACGGAAGCCCAGACATTCTACAGACACCCTGAATGGCGACATTTGTTATTAATTATGAGTGCAGAGACCTACAACATCGGCCGGTTGGATGGTTTGTGCGGCGCTTTCAGCTTGCGAGTGTGGCTGGAAATGGTTTGTGACCTGCACTACACAGTGGGTTCAGACAATCCAAACGCGTTTGTTTTAGCTCGACTCCCTTGAAACGTAATTTGGGATTTAATTAATTATTTCACATGCAAGGTGATTCAGCGTTGACATATCAACGACTGCCGCAGGGGACGAGGAAGCTCGAGATCTGAAATCCGGTTCGAATCACGTGACTTCCTGCACTAGGTCGTGAGACGTACGCCCTCTCCAAAAGCCGTTACGTCATCTGGTTACCAGACTGATTAACTAGCAGTTACGGGTTACCAGCTTATTTCCTGCCCTGTCTTATCTTTTCCCCTGACTTTGCAGTCAAATGATTACGTCAAGGTATGCCTTTCTTTTCTTCTGGCTTCCTGTTTACAGACGAGCACTCTTGCCGCATACCAACTCCTGCTGAGATCTGAAATCCGGTTCGAGATGGCGGCTTTTCAAAAGCATGTCCCGAATCAACTAAAAAGCAAATGTCACCTGAGCGCCGTCCACATGAAGACATCCGTTTTCTTGACGTGGTGATTAACTGCTGAATCGTCGGCAGATGTTTTCAGAATCGAGATCCGGGCTCCTTTGATCAAGAAAGGTAGCCAGCGATGGCACTAAATCACGAGAGTGGCATCGTCACAGCCGCTGAATGTCACCCAACAGCCACAAAGCACCCGGCAGCCCAGGCTTAAGCTCCGGGACCCTGCATGTTGACCGATTGTATTTACGATACGGTGACAACGCTTGCTCTTCCAGGAGATTACTGATGCGGACTCGGCGAACCAGCTTAGCCCAAATTCCTGCTTGTGATGTGATCATTGACGCAACTCGGGGGCAAGCAGCCTAGTATGGGTGGGCTGCAGTCGTTCAAAAGGAGTGTTCCACATTTACATCGGGTTTTAACTGAGATCGACATTTTCAAGATCATTCACCGCATTGCAGGTCACAGTTCAGCCATTTCTAAAACTTCAAATCCTCTCGTTTCTGAGCTGAGCGCACGCAAACTTGCGCAGACTATTTTGCGCCGCCTGATTTGAAATTATCCAATATGCATGACGTCACAGAACCGTCACACAAAGCCCGGCTCCTAATGGCCGTATTGTGTTGATGCTGATGACCACTGAGTTATCCGTGGTTGAGTATGTCAGCACGAGTCGTCACATTATTGAACCGCACAATGCCGAGGCGTACGGAAATCACTACGTTGGTCCTGGTCCCGAGGCCCGAGGTGGTGAGTACTGTGATAAAACTGATTTCCACCTTAAGCGCGCCATGTTCGAGCGATGCTCGAAGTAACTGCATGGTGTTGCGGCTGATTCGACGGCACAGATTCATGAAATTCGGTGCATCACGCTACAATGCTATTAATGCACAATAAACATATTTTGCATGCAATATCACAAAACCATCACGCTTAGCTCCCCCGATGCTCTCCAGCACCGAAGCGCCGCCAAAGTCCCCATCCGAACACCACATCTATGAAACGGAATGCCAGCGGCAGTGGTCCACTCCAATGCAATAACGTCAACAGCGCATAAACATTCGCAGCCGCTCTGGCAGCGCAATTTCCGTCGCCGGCTAGACCGTCACAACGCCGGGCTTTGCGGTTTTGTTTTGCTCGTGTTCTCTTGCCGTGTTTGAGCTGCGACGCAGTGCGCAATTGACAAGATCTTCGAGACATTTTGTGCTGAGGCGACTGTGACACACACTGTCGCGCCAGCGCGAAGTTTCACAAAATGAGTTGAGTGGGAAGGCTGAGCGTTGGAAATTACCGCAACCTATCACTAAAATTCGTCAATAAGCGGGGTTCTCCCAGATGTCGCTCGCTTTCATCTCAACTTAATTTTGGAGAGGCCGCAGCCCAAACTGAGGGGGGGGGGCTGCTGCAAAAGTTGGGGAGGGGGCTGGAGTTTCCCCAACTAAATAGGTCTGGAACTACGCGTCTGGTGCCACCGTTTGTGGAGATTTGACAACACACGCGCGCGCGCACACAAACTCGTACCTGAGGCAGTGACATCGGGGGTATATTTGCCACACTATAACCTGTGGTACTACGGGCCTACACACAAACAGTTCCAAAACTTTCGTTGGGGATTTAGAAGATGCAGATCGGCATGGACAATTTCCGGATCATGGCCGAAACTGTGTTTTCAAAATTACCCTTTGGCCCACAACAAATGCAAAAGTGCTAAAATGTTGCGACGTTTATTCTTTTTTCTGCATTTGAATATGTCGTTGCCGTCTGACAGGGAGCAGCTGTAACCATGAAGGTAGGGCATTATCTATGAAGATGTTTCGCAGCCGTACGCCCATACAAATCAACAGGCACATTTTGGCGGCCCAGTCTCCCCAAATGCTTACGCCGTTGCATTTCCAAATGTGTTGCTCATCCAAGCACCGATTGCGCAAGCCTGCAGCACGTTGTGCACATATAGGTGCACATCACCACATTAAGTGTACACTCATCGGTCTTCCCTTCTCCGCGCTCTGTGCATCCAGTCCGTGTCCGGTAAAGCCCAGGCACAACCCGAGCTAAATTCGGACGCGGTACGTAAGAATGTCCCGGTAAAGCCAATGTGGGGACTTCTGGACCACCCTCAGTTAGCCCGGCGATCCAATCAAGCCGTTTTAGCATCGAGTACTGGTAAAGACAGGACACGACGGGAGTGGCAGTCGTCGCTTTTCCCGTCGGATCGCGACTGTCCTAAGGTGACTACCACTCCTGCACAGGGAGTTACTGGAAGTCAGACATACCTCCGGCACATACTTAAGTGAACGAGCTTCGGTGTTTCAAAATTTGTGCGGACAAAGGATTATGTTCATTTACCTGTTCAATACAAAATAACAACTCGTGGAATAAACAGGGGCTGCAGGAAATACTCGTGCTGAGAAAGACAAGTTATCTCCCACCACGAAACGGTTGTTAAGTTCTGTTTGGATACCTGGGGCATCTCCAGTGACGGGCCATTCGTGCTTATGTTGGACCTGCCTCTTTTTTGATGGCCGGTATTCGACACTTTCCATTACCGTATAACACTTGAAGCATTATGTGTCATTGGCTAAATCAAGGATAGGACATTTAATCCTCTCCAAAAAGCTGTAGCTTGCAACCGACTTGAAGATATAGACCAGTATGGCATTTCACGGAATTGGTCGCTGGTAGAGCACCCCTTGCGCCATTTGGATTATTTTACATTCGCCGAAGCCGGTGGAGAATACCTCACAGGCTGGTGATCCACCAAAGCGGGACGTCCAATGTGATCCCCAGATAGCAGTTAAAAACAAAACATAGCTGGATAACCGCTTAACTGGACTAAACCGCTTAAACATAGCTGGATAACCAGCCCTCGCCTGAACGACGGTCGCCAGAACGAGCCCCCTATCCTGAGCAAGGAGTTCGACGCTAGGTTCCGCGTACCGGAAACAAGTCATCACTGGCACCATCGGCCGCCAGAGGCCCTCACGGCCCCGAATTGACTCTTCAGGGACACTAGCTGGCATCACGTGACCGAAGGAGGCTGAAAAATCGGGCGGACGGTACCGCCAAAGCCTGTGCCTTTCCGTACATCGTCCAGCCGTAAACGTACCTGCAGCGAGGTGATGACCTTGCAGGCGACGTTGCCGAAGAACCAGGTCTGCGTGACGTCAACGGTGACGGTGGGCGGCAGGCAGAACAGCAGCACCAAGAAGTCAGCCACCGCCAGGTTCACGATGAAGATGTTGGTAACGGTGCGCATGGTGTGGTTGCGCAGCACGGCGATGCAGACGAGTGCGTTGCCCACCAGCCCCACCACGAACACGACCAGATGGCACGCGATGAGAAACCAGAGGAAGGGTGTGGGCCACATCGTCTTCAGGATCTCCTCCAGCTTTTCGGCGTCGGAGAGCGTAGTGGCCTCCGACGACATCGTCATGTTCACCGCCTCCGTAGTGGAGACGGACCGCGACTCCATCCTTTTTCGCAGCCTGCAGCGCAGGTGCCCGCCCAGTGTACACCGCTACAGGGCCGCACTTCTCGCCAGTTCCGTCGGCAAAACACCAATCCCCTCACCAGCAGAGAAGGCTGGGCTGCGGCACAGAGATGACAGGGGGGAGGGCAGAGGGTGTCCTCCAGCAGGTGGGGCTAAGCCTGACCGGTCGTCCGCGGACAGTCGCGCGGGAGAGGGGAGGGGAGGGGGTGTCGAGCTCGCCGGCGGTGAGTTCAGCGTAAGTCGGTCGCCACACGAGTCCTGGGCGCGCGAACGCCGGCGCCACCCGCCTGGGGACCTGGAGACGGCCGCAGGTTCGTCAGGCCACTGGCGAACCTGCCGAACCGGCACAAGAGCTGCGGTCAGGGCAGTGCCTGAAGCGTGGTGGACTGCGGACAGCGCGGTCAGAGCTGCGGCGCCAGGGCAGGTCGGACCGGACCTCCTACCAGCGCCGGAGGCCGGCACCGACTGCCGCCGCCGCCGCCGCCGCCGCCGCCGCGACCGCCGTGGCGTGCGCCGTCCGAACAATCCGCTAACACGCCGCTCGACCCACCCGATCTAGAGCGCACGCATGCGGTGGTGAGCGAGCCGACCGACCCTCTGTCCAACGACCAGCGGACCCGCCTGCTCACCGCCTGACCAGCGGACCCACCTGCTCACCACCTGACCAGCGGACCCGCCTGTTCACCGCCTGACCAGCGGACCCGCCTGCTCACCGTCTGATCAGTGGATCCGCCTGCTTACCACCTGACCAGCAGACTCGCCACCTCACCGCCTGACCAGTGAATCGGAGGCCCAGTATCACTGAAGCATAGAGCCAGGCTGGATGGCGTGGCGGCCGACACATCGACATGAAGCGGTCCAAATGCATAAAGAGCGACCCACGCATGAAGTATTCCGCGACGGATGCAAAATACACAACTTTATTTACTCTCATTGCATTTCAAGCAACAGCATCAACCGTGTTGTAGGACATGCCAGCTCGTGGCTTCTACACCAGCGCTCGTCATCGTCATTCGTTCTTGTTCATCGCTTCCATTCGAGGTCAGGCAGCGCGCGTTCGTGCTTGACTTAGCTGGATTAGGACGACACTGAAAAAAGTCCGAAAGCAGAAAAGAGTAAAACGTGTGAGGCCCTCAAGCTGTTTGCAAATTTTATAAGTTTTGATTCGCGGTTTTCACTATTGCTAAGCCCCACATAATCAGATGTGTGTGCTTTTCAGCATATTTTTTAAAAATATTTGTCCGTGGTTGTCACAAGTGCCCCACTACTGATCAGTGAAAAGGGTCAAGCCTTTTTCAATGTGTCACCCTTTATAAGGAGTCACAAGAGTCCCAGGAACAACAAATTTAGATTTATTTTGCCGGTCTTTATCCTTTGCATTGTGTCACCGCTTAACAACGGATTGGGTTAAACATTAAACTCTGAGAATGGGATCTGCTGCCCTACAATGGTGCCCAAAGGTAAACATGACATTTATCAGCAAAGTCCAGTTACACTTGGCGGGAATTTAGAAGACAGGCACCAAAACCACCTCTAAATCGCAAGAGGGTGTCTTACCTTATGTTATCAACATCAATAAGGAACTACAAGAGAGCCTTTACACGGACCGGCCCGCAGCACCGGCAAAGGTGAGTATGCCCGCTGAGCGGAATTCAGAGGACTGGGCTAATACACTGGCTCTTGCGAGGGCGGCCACAGTCCAGTCCCCGACGGTAGAGACCCACCACAGGAACCACCAAAGCATCCAAGATCGTTGCGGCCAGTGCTAATAGCATCTCAAAACGCAGCGTCCAGTGTTCATAGCATCCAAAATGCGTTTAATTCCGTGTCCCGTGCTCATTGGCGGAGTTCGTAGCAGTTACGCTCGCAGCCCACAAAGTCATCGCCATTCATTGCCATTCAATGCTCATAACATTCAGCGATCATGACGTCCCGTTGAAACTTTGATTAGCACTGTTGTCTAACTTCTGGACGCCATGAACGCTATATGTATGAACTTTGAATGTTGCGATTTTGAATGTTGTGAGCGTGGATCAGGTGATTCTCTCTGCCCGGGGGCATTGGACGACTTTTGGATGCTACGAACGCTGGATGCTGCGATCTTGGACGTTTTTACCTTTGTACGTCATGAACTCTGGGTGTCTCAATACGCATTAACCACTGCGGAGTTTCAGGTGGGGCCTGCTGTGACGCATGCGCAAGTGAGGTCAGGAACTGCGCTGGCTAAGGTGGGGCTAAAAGGACCGGCTGCTGCGTTGGGTATGATATATGTATGATGCATCTAGTGGTCTAGCAGTCCGGCAGTTCCACTGGTCCTGATGGAACCTGCCGCCCTCGGGAGACCGATTCTCTTCTGGTCATGATGAGCCCGGCCGCTGATATGGCTCCGGTGATCTCGACCGCTCTGTATCCCACGTGGATCGGACCTGGTTAGGCCTAATCCCATATTGCCTTGCACACAACTCCAAAGTAGTGGTGCTAAAGATGTGTTGACCTAGCAGGGCTATAACCCACATGTTGCTTCATGAATACCACGGTTGTAATTCTTCGTAAGCTCACAATGCAAGGGGCCGACTTGTTTTGGGCAGTAGATCTTACTTTAGTTTGCATTTGTGCTTTGTGTTGCCATGTTATTTTGCCAGCACACTTTATTTTTCTCCCATTTTGTCCTGTTTCTACGCGATTTGCTATCTCTTGTTGAACAACTTCTGCAAGACCTTTCTTTACAGTCCATCATGATGTTTCGCTTTGCTAATGCCTCAGGTTTTAGTCTGTGTTTAGGTTTTGGTGTCTAAACTAGGCCCCTTATGTATTGCTCATACATGTTTGCATGACAAGCGCAGCTTAAAGGGAGTGCTTCACACTTGCATGAAGTTTTGAACTCAAATAGTCATCTTGAAGATCATTCGGTGTAGCTCACGATTCAGGTCGAGGTCAACAAAAATAAAATTGTCGTCTCGTTCAAAGCTGGCGTTTGTGACCATGATTTCCAAATCTAACGGCCGCCAATTCCCTCTCAATCATTGTTTTGCAAAGCACAATGACGTAGTCAAACAATGACCTCGCGAGGAGCATATTTACTAATCACAAAAATTATGTTGTCCAGAGCAGATTTTTCCACTGAAAAGTATACAAATATATATATATATATATATATATATATATATATATATATATATGTATATATACAAGTGAGCGTTTTCATGACACATGATACTTGCTTAAATACCCCAAGCTTAAAAAATCCCTTCAATACAATTTTCGTCCATCCTACCTGATCCACGCTATCGCCTGCATCCTTGCGACCCCTCATCACCGGGGGCCATGGGAAGGCTGAAGTGCCCCTCAGCGGAAGCGCTGTCCGAGCGCCAAGCCCTTACCTCGAACAGGGCTCCCCGCGCAGACCAAGCTTCGGCGGAGGGCCTCCAGGTGCCTGTGGTCCTGCCCCACCGCTATCCATTCCTTTCCATCTGATAGCCCTGAAATGGTCACCTCTGACCAAAATACTGTAATCCCAACCGAACAAAATGGGATTAAGCCATCCACCCTTCTTTCACCCGCCTTCCCACGTGTCATCCGCGTCTCCATGGCACCCCGTTTGTCCGGCGCGGGCTGCATGCCACAGCCAAGAGAGGGCGCAAGTGCTTCCTGGCGAGAACCACGTCCGGACCCCCGCACACACTCCGAAGGATGTCCCCATGTGGACTAAGTCTCGGTGGAGGACTCCCCGATGCGTGCAGTCTTGCCGTTAGGTATATGTGGCCTCGGTGTTGCCCCACGACTATTCGCTGTTCTTTATGCTTTAGTATTGAAATGTTCACTGTTGGTCTAGACTGCTTTATTCTCAACCGGACCAAAGCTGATAAAACTTGTTTGCATGGAAACAGCGCATGTCATTCGCGGGTATCTGCTTTGTGTGTTGCAGGACGCCAGCCGTGCTTAGATGCCTTCAGCTTGGAACGCTTTACAGCATTACCATTCTTAAAGGAAGTGCTCCACATTTGTAGAGGGTTTTAAACTTAGATGGCTATTTTGAAGGTAATTAAAGGTAATTTATAGCCATGCCGTTCTTAGCCCTCCCCTGATAGAGGAGGGGTTCGAGGCGGCTCCTACTAAGGTTTTTTAGGATACCTCTCCGTCATGTTGTGCAATCGCGCTTAACTTTTCAGCAATCTACGGGATATTCATGACACGCGTTTTGACATCAAAAGGTGTCCTTAGCTCTCCTAGTTCCAGAGCAGCAGCGGTTTCTGAGGAACACTGTACGGTGATCTACGGCCTGAGCAGGCGGCGGGCGGCAACCGACGATGCTGCGGAACGCACGCGGCGGCGAGCATTGCTACAGTAATGAAACTATATGTCATACATGTGCGGTCAAAATGCATAAAACTAAACACCATTGTACTTAGAATTAAACAAGATACACGCATGTATAGTTTTTTTTTTGTTTTTGTTCTTGTTTCTTTTTTGTTAAAAGGCACGGTCTCGTATCACGTTGTAAAACTGAAACCGTCCAATTTACGGGAAAGTTTCACCTTTGACCTTGTCATAATGGGATCAGTTATTGACCGAGGCATTGAAACATATTACCAGTCGCGAAATCTCATTGAGAACGATTCCCCGGTGCCTTATTTCCTAAGTTATATCTCAAAAAGTGTCCTAATATCATGTGGGTTGCATGTCCCCCACCCCATCAGTCTTTGTTACGAAAAATGGCGAATCAGCGAGACAATTCACATGCGTTACTTTGTTATTTTAGTAAAAAGTAGTTCGGACCATCAAATGATAAAAATAAATAGAACTCTTTGTGTTATCCAATGTATTCTTCAATTTGAGCAAATCACATCGGTTTGAGCGTGATAATACATGATACAGAGCGCACAGGAATGCTACTTTCAGGTGCATGACGAAAGCAATACTTGAAGAAGACTTCAGTAATGTCTCACGCTCTTGTTTCCACGTGGTTGCATCCTCATGTATCC